ATTTGCTGTCACAAGAATGGATCGGGTGCCACGAATACGAATCGGGTGAAGGTAAGACAAAAAAAATTCGAAAGTTCGCTTTATCAATTAATTTTCTACTCACCAACTAATAATTCGTTGATTAGAGATTTTATTTAGTTATATATCATTATAAATTTCAATTTAGAATTAATTTTGTACTCACCATCTAATAATTTGATTCATATATGAATGATTAGAAATTTTTTATCCAATTGTTGTAAAATTTTGATTTCAAGTTAAATTTAACTTACTTGCTAATAAATTAATTTAAGTATATTTAATTAAAGTTTCATTTTAATTAGTATATAAAGAATAACAAAACGTTTATACTTACAGCCTAATAATTTGATCATATATTATATAATTGAGTAAAGAAAACTTATTTATTGAATTCAAAAGATAAAATAAAAATCAGAATAAATATTATAGAAAAACTATACGTTTTTTCAGATGCATTTTAGAGTCAGCACTGATTATAGTTGCAATGAAAGCCAAAGCGACAAAAAGGACTAAATAAAATTTTTTCAGCATTTTTGGGTGATATTTTTTCGAAATCAGAATATTAGACAAATAACGAAAGAAAAAAAGCAGAAAGAATAAATTATGATAGTAATTTATATATTTATATATTTATTAGATTATTAGATTCAAATATTTAGTTTTTAGATACACATAATTTATTGGATACAAATATTTAGTTTTTAGATACACATAATTTATTGAATGCATAGACGTAAATATTTAGTTTTTTAGAAACACATAATTTATTGAATACATAGATGCAAATATTTAGTTTATTAGATGCATATAATTTATCCAGCAAACTACTATGATAGGACGCACTTATTTGCGCGAGTAATACAAACCCCTAAAAAGAAAATGGCCAATCGGAGTTCACAAAATTTGACGGTTCCGGATAAGAAAAAAGCGAAAATACTCAAAAACTAGTGCTTAAATCGACCATGATGCACTAATCAAAAATGTCTGGAACGAAATTTTACATATAGCAAGCAACAAACTATTGTTATAGCCGTTAATTTTAACTTAAACTTTTACTTTACGCACACGCACTTAGTTGATTTACAAAATTCTATTTCCTTTTTTGGTTTGTGTTACTCGCGCAAATAAGTAAAACCTACTATGATCTGGCTTACAAGATAAATTTATTTTACGTTTTGCATTAACCACCGACCCATTTTTCCAATTTTTTGTTTTTTTTTTTTTTAAGCACCAATTGTGCCAATTATTCTATTTTGGTATTTTTCCATAAATTAATCCGGAATTACACAATAGAGACCCTATTTTCCCGAAAGTATCTGATAGAACTGACCGAAAAAAATTTCGACTGCCAACCCAATTTTCTGATTTCATGTTATAAAAAGCGAAAAATAACCCTTTGCGACCTTGGATGTGAACATGAGTCCATTAATTCACTGTAGATAAAAAAAAAAAAATCCGACCGACCGAGCGGGAATTTTGAAATCCATGAAATGCAAAACGAAAAATCAACTTTACATGGCCTTGTCGTACAGATCATAAATTTTTTTCGTTTTATTTTGTAAGCACAAAAATTCCGAATTAAAACAACAGGAAGCACCGTTCAAATTCGTATATAGTCAGGAATCATATACGAATTCGATTGACATTGTTATCATTTCAACCAAATATAATTTAAGGGACAGTTCGCAATTAAAATAACTTCCATATATAGTGATAAAATGCAAAACACTTCTTTATATAGTAAAAAGTAATTTACACAACAATTTTAATGATTAGAGGCGTAATAACATGTTCTACAATTTTAACTTTGTAAAAAAAACTATTCATTGTAATGAATCGACATTCCATTACTATAAAAAAATATAAAATAAATTCCGACTATGATATTATACCCTTTAACTGTGGACTGTCCTTTAAATATTTTTTATACTGTATTACTTTTCAAAAGCTGTACTCTATTAAACGGAATATCTGGGTAAACAAAGTCTGTAATAAAAAAAATCTTATATATACAGATAAATTTCTTTCTAAATTTACTGTTCGCAAAATTCTTTCTAAATTTACTATTCACTTAACTATGAATAGAAAAACTTTTAATCAAATATTTTTATTCACTCTTTTTTTCCATCTATTGTTATCAGCCTTCATTGTTGATTCCAATATAACAACTACAACTGAAACAATAACCGTCACTGCAACATGCACAACCACACCTACCCCTATTCTTAGTTGCCCTCAAACACCTTATCCACAAGATGATTATCCACAGGATAATTTAGAAAAACGTTTTCATAAAAAACAAAAACAGAAAAAACAGAAAAAACCAAAACATGAAGAACATAAAACTGTTCCTTGTAAAACTGCTACTTGTACCCTTACAAAAACTGCATGCGTTACTCCAACGCCTATATGTTCATCCCTAAATTCACCATGTGATCCGAATCACCCAGAATTATGCTGTTCTGGGTTCTGCAGTCAATATTCATTTATCGGATGTTGTTCAACTGTGGGGGCATATTGTGATATTAGTAATAACACTTGTTGTTCTGGTGTTTGTTTTTTAGCTCAAAATAACGTTCCAGTCAATAAATGTATTTAGAAATATTAGTAAAATTTCAGCACCAATTTCACAAATAGCATTAAAATTATTTAACCATTTGAGCATGTTTGTTCTGATGTTTATCTTAGATTCGTCAAAAGTTTATATATCGAATAGTGCTGAAACTTTTAGATACCTTTTTATATATTTATAATTTATATACTTTTTAATTTTTTTCTAAAATAGTGTTAAATTTTTTTTAAAGACAGATTTTTCTGATAAAACTAAATATATGATTTGATAGATCTTATCAAAGATACTTGAATATATTTTTACAATAAATTTTGATTAAGTTTTTATAATACTAAGTTTATTCTAAATTTATTCTACATTTAATATTTACGTTTATACTATATTTAAAATCGTCTTAAATAAGTAGGTCTTTGCAAAAATTATTCGTGAAATTTATAACTGTGGAAGATTTTCGATTTATTTTTATTATTAAGGTCTCTTCAGCACTACACAGCTTACTTCATTATTTATTTATTATTACCAAGTTGATGGAATCTCTCTACTTTATTAAACTCAAAAGCAGTTGGTTATATATGTTGTAAGTGGGAACAGAATTTAAATGGACTTAAAATTTTAGAGTTAGAATAAAGTTTATACGGAATAAATTCTGCCCTAAAATTATAATTTCATTAAGAAATTTCAAATCCACTTAAATAACATTCCTAATTACAATATATACATTTAGTTTTATATTATACTACACGTTAAACTATCAACTTTCAGCCTACCATGTTGATGCGCTATCTCAACTCCCTTATTTGCACATAAGTTTCCAATTGATAACTTAGAAATAATTTGTGACACTACCACTATGCTTATTTAATGTCGTGAAATCGGACGATGATGAAATTTGGATCTGTTTTATGTACGGTTTTAAACCTTTTTGGGACTTATGATTTAAGTATAGGCGGGTTTTGGAGCATAGCGGGCTTTCATTGTAATTGGCTGATTTTTGTAGATCATCCCGTGATATTGCAAAAATATTATTGGTTAAT